TTTTTTTTTTTTTTTTTTTTTGTACAGAAATACTTATAGGAATAAAATGTCACATTTTACCATTCGTAAGAACCTGAATCTGGTCTTAACTTAATGGTCATTCTATTCTAGAGAAAATGTGTGTGTGATATGTTTTAATATAGGAACAAAAACCACTTTCGAGTTATGGAAAGGCATGCTTAATAAAACTTAACCCTAGGCCTTTTAATGTACTAATCATTCATGATGTAAAAAGAGAAAAGAAATTAAAATATTTTGTGTTGAATTCATAGCTTTAGTTCAATTTATTCATATTATTATACTTTTATTTTGCTCTCCATTATCCCAAGGTAAAGAGGCCAATGCATTGCGTGCATGTTTCAATTTCTGTATTCCTAGATAGTGTTGGTTGTACAATACTGTTGTTGTTAAAATCTACTGTTATTATGTTTGTTCCTCCACAAACTGCAGCACTGAATAGAATACCGCTTGGAGCACAAACACATATTAAGATAAAGAGGCATCTTCTGTATGATGATTTTAATTAATACATTAATAATATTGAAATATCATCACTGAAAATGAGATCTTTGTCCTAAAACTAATTTAAAGAATAATTCAGGGCATCTGTATCGTAACGTGTCAAAGATGTCAAATCAGCTGTGTATTGTAACCCATTCACAAGACTGATAGAGCTTCAAAAGCAGCCTATCTACCATCATATACATACATATGCTATATATATGTCTATAACACATCTTATATTATATTCTTGTGTGTGTGACTGTGCATGTTGAAGTTATAGTAATCTGCAACCGCATGCATTTTGTTGTTTATTGTGTGACTGTTTATATAAGAAATAGGTTTAGAGAAAAATCTGTGTTGCACAAATGTTTCAAAAATATTTTAAGCATATAAGAAAGGGTGAAAAGACATCTTGGCAACAAGTAGTAGAGATTTCCAACAATTCTATTTTCCTACTTATTAGGTATTTTAATAGTTTACAAATCCTTTAAACATTTTTGATAAGTCGCTTTAATAAGAATATATTCTTAATTGAATTCAGAAAAAACCATTATCAAGCATTTTTAATCCATACCTAATGTTATCACAGTGGCATTTCCCTGTTTGTGTTTTAACGTAACTGGTCTACATGTCTTCCGATTTTTGTTTCTTCTCTCCCTGAATAACTCTTCCATCCCATATTTTAGCTATGTCTGTAACTGCACTGGCACTGGCTTCAACGGCACCCACTGCGAGCTGAATATAGACGAGTGCGCCGTGTACCATCCCTGTCAGAACGGAGCCACATGCACAGACGGGATAAACGTGAGTGTCGAAAGCATAGTTCTTCTACATAAATTGAAAGATTTTCCAGCCAGAATTTTCTAGCTTCCTCTTTGCAGTTTGGTTTTAACACAACTGTAAGTTTATGTCATTTCATTTCATTTCATTCCTTCTTCCCTCATTTAAGAAGAAGTGGTAAGTATTTACAAGGCACTGACAGACAGTATTACAGTTATTACGACATGGTATTTTATCATGACCATCTTTTATGGGCATTTATGTCTGAGATATGCAAAGTTTTCACCTTTTAATATAAAAGACATTTTAATGTGTTGAACACCAGTGTGATAAACATTCAGATCTTCCTTCAATTATTACATTGACAAATACACTTATTCTTTCTTTTCTTTTAAATTTTGCTCTTTCCATGGAACAACCTTCTAAATAAACCTTGGAATGTGTACTCCTCACTTTTAGGACTACAATTGTACATGCTGGGAAGGTTACCAGGGCAAGAACTGTGAGATCGACATCAACGAGTGCGAGTCCAACCCGTGTCAATATAACAGCACGTGTCTCGAGCGCTCCGACCTCTCCCTGTACCAGCAGGGCTACCTGAACTTCAACAACTTTAACTTCTCCACTGCGGCTGGTTATGTGTGCGAGTGTGTGCCAGGGTCCACAGGTGAGCAAACACAATATGGAGATTTTTTTTTATCTCAACTACTGCAATGCAGAATTTTCAATAAACACAATGCTGTATTTTAGTCCACTATAAGGGTCAACATGTAACTTGACTGGTATCACTGAAACAGATATCAAATACCAATTTAAGAAATTTATGAAATTGTGTTACTTATACATTATCAGTAGAGTAGTTGATATGTTCAAAGTTGTAAGATCAATCATCACATTTTAAAGAAATTGCCCACTTTTTCTGTTTATTGTGATATTTAGTTTATGTTGCTGAATGATGATTGTTGGAATTCCCTCTGATTTTCAGGTGTGAATTGTGAAGTGAACATTGATGAATGTAATTCCAACCCGTGTGTGCATGGCACTTGTAACGACATATTGAATGGCTACACGTGTGCATGTGAGGCAGGCTGGACTGGCACGCACTGTGAGACAGAAATCAACGAGTGCGACGAGTACCAGCCATGTAAAAATGGAGCCACGTGCACAGACAAACTGGCAGACTACACGTGTCAGTGTGCAGGACCTGTACAAGGGACGGAATATGGCGGAAAGAACTGCACAGTACAGCTGATTGGTTGTGCAAATAACGCCTGTCAAAATGGCGCCACTTGCCGGCCATATTTGGTGAATGAAACTCCTGCTGTGCATAACTACACTTGCTCATGTCCGTCAGGGTTCACTGGGTTCTATTGTGAAGTTCCCACGTCAGCCTCTTTCAATGGTACCTCCTACATGGTGTTAAATTCGACACAAAACTGGTCGAATTTCACCCTGGTGCTGTGGCTGCGTACCACGCTGCTCAGCGGCGTCCTGATGTACCACCAGTTACCATCTGGCGACAGCATGCTCCTGACGCTAGCAGGACACAACTTACAGTTCACCTTTAACCAGGTCACAGGCAATCCTGTCAGCTTTGCATCGGAGAATCAACGATTAAAAGATGGAGAGTGGCACCAGATCGAACTTGCCGTGAATTCAGCGGGGAGCACAAAGCTTCATATCTATGGAAATCATTGTCCAGGTGGCGTGTGTACTTATCAAGACAATATCAATGTAAGTTCCCCCCTCACCTTCGGCACGACCTACATTGGTAGTAAAGTGATGGCAGGGGCAATTGACCAATCAGAAGTCACATTCATTGGTTGCACCAGAGATATTGTGTTGAACGGGCAGTTGGTTGTTCCTCAAGATGTGCCGAATTCTTTGGTGGGAGTTTACCCAGGATGCAACAGGGAGGTCCAGTGTGTTCCCGACCCGTGTAGCGGCAAGGGTGTATGTGCTGACCTCTGGTGGCAGTATAAATGTCGCTGCCTGAGGAAGTATACTGGACCCCAGTGTAACCAGAGTAAGTGAGAGAAGAGTGCCGAGTGAGATATGTCTATTTTCACTTAAGAATTTGTTGTTGTATAGAGTTTGAATGTCCAGCATCACCACTTGATTTCTAGAAAAAAAAACTTGTACAATTTCTTTATACAGTTATAACAAACAATTTTCTTGATTCTTTTGTTTATGCCTTGAAAATGACCATTGTCATTTTTTTAATAAAGTGACTGTAATATTTTCAAGTAATAACATCCATAACATTATCTTTTCCAGCCTTCCCAGCTGCCACCTTCAGTCAAGGTTCATCGTCAAGTCTGGCACAATTCACAATTCCAGCTAGAGACAAAAATCTCCTTCAGTATGTCAATGTCATCAGCATGTTTATACGCACACGCCAACCTGACGGCTTTATCTTCTACCTGGGTGGCGTCAATACCAATAACCCAGGTGACAAAGCCTTCGTATCTGCTGAGTTGAAAGGCACAAGTCTGCATGTTATTCTCAATCTGTACAACACTATGGATGGATCATATAAAAAATATGAAGACAACCTGGGCAGCAATTTGAATGACGGTTCACAACATTTGATCGAAGTTGATAAAAACCGTGACAAATTAGAAATCCGAATCGATTCGGTCAGGTTATCAGGAAAGACCATGACAGCCACCCTGCTGAATCCAGCAAACATGTACGTTGGTGGGTTGCCTGGTTTGGGCTCCTCCTCCAATGGGCGTCGCAGGCGACAAACGCTTGTTGAGTATAACCCTGACTCTGCTACCGTCCAGGAACCTTTCAAGGGTACAATCCAGGACGCTCGGCTCAATGACAAACTGCTGCTGTTTTACAACGTTTCTGTTCCCGAAAGTTTCCAATTAAACGAGTCGTACCCGGTGACCCTGGATGGTGTGGTGGAAGGGGAGCAGACGGACGATCTCTGCGCCACTGGAAATCTTTGTGAAAATAACGGCACATGTAATAATGTGTTCTTTAACGATTTTATGTAAGTATAGGAAAATTAATGCTTTATAATACTTGCTTGGGATTAGATATTTTGTGGTTCTAATTTGAAGGTGAAATTATTTGATTGAGCTATATTTTACCTGATAAATTATGTCCTTAGCTGTTTTATCCAATTGCTGCATGATTATTGGTATATTCCGAGTCATCTTCTGTGAGAGGTATTTAGATGTCAAATCTATCAGTCAAAGAAGTCTTTATTTATTTCTCCATGTCTTTTTCATAAGAATTTGAATGCTGCAGTTTTGTTGGTGCTTTTGGCATGCTTTTTTTTTTTATCCTGTTAAATATTTGAAAAGCCAGTAAGGCAGTAGTTTGGTTATAATTTGAAAGAAGATATAATTATGGTTATGAATTGCATGCCATTGGTGAAGTAATTATTTTAATTTGATAAAAACTGTAACTCTGCAAGGGTTGAAATGATAAGGTATATTCACATTCCTTGATTGGCACTTTTTCTTCTTTCTCTCCAAGTGCTTAGCATGATATATATTAATATTCTTTCTAAAGCTGTGACTGCCCCAAGGGTTACAAGGGTAAGAACTGCAGTGCCTTGGATTTCTGCATGTATTCCAAGTGCCCAGAGGACTCCACCTGCAGGGACCTGGCTGATGGTTATGAATGTAAGTATAGGGAGATGGTGGGAGGCATTGTGTTAGGTGTGATAGGTTGTGATGCAGCACTGAATGTGCTATGGAGACATTGTGTTAGGTGTGACAAGTTGGGGTGCAGCACTGGATGTGCTATGGAGACATTGTGTTAGGTGTGATAGGTTGTGGTGCAGCACTGGATGTGCTATGGAGACATTGAGTTAGGTGTGACAAGTTAGGGTGCAGCACTGGATGTGCTATGGAGAGATTGTGTTAGGTGTGATAGGTTGTGGTGCAGCACTGGATGTGCTATGGAGAGATTGTGTTAGGTGTGATAGGTTGTGGTGCAGCACTGGATGTGCTATGGAGACATTGTGTTAGGTGTGACAGGTTGTACACTGAATGTGTTTGGAATGAAGGTTAAAGTGACAAGTCCATCCATCTTTTTGAAAAGGGTTCTGAGAAATGTGCCTAAGCTGCTGATTTTCAGGATTTGCCTGCATTTTTTCTGTAGGTTGAAAACCGTAATTTTTCACAACCTAAATGTAATTGATTAAATGACATTTATTTTAGCTTCTCTTAATCTTGTATGACGGATGTGATGTATAATATCCCTGTGTTACACAATGTATATTTATATTTTCAGGTATAACAGAGGCCACATTCAATGGAATGGACAGTCTCCTCCGCTACAACAACACCATCAACTCGACCACCACCTTCAACCACATGAGCCTCAAATTCCGCACAAGAAAAGAGAATGCTATCATCTTCCATGCTCGTAGCAATGCAGCCGCGTCAAGGTTCCTCACCATCGAAGTCTCCGAACGTAAGCTGAAACTGAAGTACAACCTCGGTGAAAGATCTGAGCTGCCGACAGACTGGGCGGTCACTGATGGTCAGTACCACAACGTGTCCATAGTGGTCAATGACACCCACCTGACTCTCTCTATAGACCAGGGTCAGTACGAGAAGTCCAAGCCCCAGCCCGTCCAAGCGGTCACTCTGGCTCAGGTGATCAGAGGCAGTGACATGGTATTCCTGGGTGGCATTGACGACACCACTGTCGCCATATCACCAAATACAAACACACAGTCTGCTTTGAGCAAATTCAAAGGGTGCATGGATGAGGTCCGACTTGGGCGCTACCTGCTCCCGTTTTTCTTCAACTCCGCACTGGTTAATGACAGCAGCTTGGAGAAGTTCCAGGTAATGACCAAGGCCAGCATAGTGACCCCCTGTACCCCGGACCCCGTCTGTGCTCCTAGCCCGTGTAAGAACGGAGCCACCTGTGTGGACATCTTCAATGACTTCACCTGTCAGTGTCCCCTGGGTTTCAATGGAAGTCTCTGTGAGAACAACATCGATGACTGCCCAGGTAACGAGTGCCAGAATGGAGCTACCTGTGTGGACGGCATTGCTAACTACACCTGTACCTGTCAGGCCGGGTACACTGATGCCAGGTGAGTGCTGCAGTCTTAGGGACTGTTCAGAACCAACTTGATCCACGGACTAACTAAGCCCTGAATCAAATATGGTACAACTCACTTGAAAGCATGTCAAGATGTAATTGTTCTGCCCCTGCAGGGACAGCATGCGTGGGAGGCGGGGAATTCATTGTCAAGTGCTTGCCATATGTGATCTCTGGATCAGTTTTGTTCTGATCAAGCCCTTTTCCTAAGTGCATGAAGATCATTAGACATGCAGTTTAGCTGATATATACACAACTTTAAAAAATCTATTATATGATTCACAGTATCTGTTACTAGATGGTTGCCATGACAACTTGACCACAAAGTGACCAGTTACCAAATTAACACCTCATAGTGAGGACATCATGTCACTGTAGTCATACTGATCATCCATTTACAGGCATTGCAAATCTGAATGTAAATTTTAACTGTTGGGTACATTGTCTCACAGGTCTTAGCTCAGAGAAAATTGATTTTTATTGTAGCCACCTGCAGTACTGCATACAGTATCGTGGTTCTCAAAATGCGCAGATCTAGGTCTGTTGTTTGTCATGCTTCTTTCAACAGAATATACCTGAAACTAAAGGAATGTAATAGTAATAATACCTAGCACTAGGTTAGTTACTGTGGCAGTCTTTCCAGATGTTGCAGTCAAATCAATTTTTCATTAGCATAAAGGTACTAAAGAGATTTATTCACATGAATCCACAAACTATTGTTCACTTTAATGAAGTGTTCTTTTAACTATGATCCTTATATTTGCTCCTGGGATGTTTATACACTCAATACAAATGTTATTAAATTATTAACCGAACAATGTGAAAATATGACATAGACCATCAAACAAAAACAAAATACTCCTTTCCCTTGTTGGTTGATGAAAAGCCATAGTTCATACATTGACATGTATAAATATTAACTTGATATTACTGTATTTTATGACTCTCCCTACCTTAAAAAACACACAGCTACTTGACATGAACATGAAAGTGAACAAAAAATCAACTGGGGGAGAAGCAGGTCAAAGAAATTTATACAGATAGATGAAAAGATTAACGGGAACTCATGAAAGATTTTGATGAATGAAGCACATTTCTATCTGATATTTTTTATCCAACAAACACAGAGCATGATTTAAATCAGAAGATATCAGAATCCCACCATTCAATATCTCCCACCCTACCTACAATTAATTTTCCCCCCAATAACTTTGTACCAAGGCACCTTTATAGCTTTTTGTAGTGCCTAATTACCATGCACAGAGCACCTCATTGATTATACATGCTCAGGTATAGTACATTTACAAATGTTTTCATATAACATGGATTTCTATGCACAACCACCTGTTCATAGACTGTGCAGTCTATCACGAGCCCCAGGGCTGCATGCCAACCTCAGGAAAATACATGAATAATCCCTGTTTGGGCTGGTGATAAATGAGGCTAGGGGTCGGGATCCAGGATTTATGACAGGGTCGTTATGAAGACTTCACCTGGAGAGGAATATAACCGTCACCTGCAGTTAACAAGCTCATGGGACAGAGCCATCAAAGCAGTGACACTGGGAACTAGTAAGTGAATTGTCACTGCTACATAGCAGAAGAAAAATGGTGGATTTAAGAATCATCATCATCATTAGTGGACAATTTATTGGAGGACATTCGTCATGTAGAAGCATATTATATATCCGTCACAGGAAGTAGATCTAAGCACAGTGATAAAGTGTCCAGTGTGTTCTTTGTAGGAAGTCACGCCAGGCAGTTTATGGGAATGGAAGTGATATTATATCTAGAACAGGAGATGTGGACATTGTTTTCTAAATAACTTGCTGTCACTTATTTAAAAAAAAGTTTTCAAAGTGGAAGCTATTTTCTCCAGTCTGATTGTATCTCCTGAAGAGGATGCTGGAGTTCCATTCCAACAGGACACACACACAGAAGGCAATAAATTGGAAACAAACTTGTGAACTTTAATAACCTTCAAGTGCTTTAAGAAGATATTGCTAAGTTAGAGGTGAAGAGAGGTGCGTGGTGAAGTCAGGGAAAGTTCACCAAGTTTTGTTGTCAGTTGGAAACTTTGGCTTAGGTTTTAGGGGGTGAACAAGGCACCAGCAGGGCATGGGTATTGTCAGTGGTTTGTTTTGTGCTGGGAATCTAAAGGATTATCTGTTGGAGACTTTCCTTTGAGGTGAATAAAATGGTGGTAGTAGGGTGAACATATATTTGTTCTCTTTGTGCATTCTGGTATTTCGTGGGAGACCACTCTTATGCCAAGAATATGGTGGAGAAGAAGTTCACATCAGATTTTTTGCCACCAATTATCGGAATTTCTGTTTTGCTCATTAGATGAGTTGCTCGAGTTGGAAGTTATGCTGAACATGGAGCAAAAATCGAGTTAAAATGCTGTCCTCACTCTTATTTCTTTGTGTGGTGAGCAGTTTCTCTTTGCCTGGAGTTCAGTGAGTAGGGAAAGATTTAGTCTGCTAAACTTGCCAGAGGTGATACACATATTCTGGAATATAACAAAGATAGAATTTGACTCTTATTGAATTAGTGTTGTGGCTTGGATGGTACAAAAGAGGCTTTTCTCTGCAATGTGTCTAGAAGTGTTCAGCTAAAGTTTGCATAAACCAGGTAGATTATATCAGTAAAAAAGTATGGGTCAAGATAAATCATTTTATATTGACACAGAATAGATAATCTAGGTCCTTATGTCTGTGTGATACTGTTGTTGGACACGGCTTTCAGCAAAGTTATCAGTGCTCTCTTGTTATTAGCTCTGAGGAATACAGATTCACTGGAGCAGACAGTGTAAAACCTAGCTGATTATAATATCAGTGTCACCTTGGCTAATGTGTCACAATATCAGCTTCAGGAACATTGAGACCTATTTACTTATCTTTGTACCTGAAATTACCCGTCATCATGTCTTTGTCTTTCTTTCATTACATAAGAAGGTACTTGTGCCTGAAAATGAGAGGAAACTTTTTGTCCAGACATTGTATGTTGTGTACTAGTGTTGTAGGGTTTACTATATTGGCTAGAGTCAGTTATTTGAAGTTGTGTCCCCAAAGTTCAGCACTTTTGGAATATTTTTCTCTTCAGTACTTGTGTGAAAAAGTTTAATGTATNTAAATATTGTAGTCATTTTAATGATTTTAGTATATTAGCCATTATTGTAAGGTGCCTTGAGATAGAATGTAAGGCGCCATATAAGAATCTTATTATTATTATTATTATTATTATTATATATGTATTAAAATTGATCAAGCAAGTCTCTGTATGAAGCACTGCATTTAATTTAACAACTAAATGCAATTATATTATAATATAAAGTCAGTAACCTAATCTGATATGATTTCAACTTGGCTGCAGTTCAGTTTGAAGTTGTGGTATTGATATGAAATCTGTGCATAAAACTGATATCAGCCTTTTAGGAAATTACATTTAGATCTTGGTCCTGATTCACCCCAGATTTATCTGATATATTTTATCAGAAGAGATAAGGGCAACCAATATGTTTTTACTGCTAATTTTTGAAGTTTTGAAACAATGTAAATTGCTCTTATCTTTGATATATATATATCTGTATTCTTATATATATTTTATTCAAAGCCTTAACCTCTCTCCCACCCCCACCCCCAGCACACACATACAAAGGCACATGCCACATCTCTAAAATTTCATTTCTGATTTAAAACAATGGCAAAAGCAAAGGAATATTGAACAGAAAGGTAAGTGATAGATGGTAAGCAATATTTCCATTAAGGTATTATATTTTATTTTATTTTATTTTATTAAAACTTCCAGCCCGAAACCTCTTTTATCTTGCAGGTGTCAGACAGATATTGACGAGTGTGCCTCTAGTCCGTGCCAGAATAACGCCACTTGTATTGATAAAGTGAACGCTTTTGAGTGCAACTGTACTGCTAATTTCACTGGACCAGTATGTGAAACACATGTAAGTATTCTGTTATTTTATTTGTGTGTGACTTTCTTAAATGGGAACAACTCTTAGTATGAGATTCATATTTCATGAGAAATACATTGCAAACAGCTCTTAGAAATATGATAAATTGCATTTTACTGCCAAAACAGTGGTTATCGCAATTATTCTGGAATCTGTGCTTGCCATCATAGATGGCTATCTTCATAGATGGCTATACCTCCATAATAATCTTTTAAAAGATTATTACAAAAAAAAAATGTTTAGGAAAAAAACATGAACTAGCTTTAAATGTAGGAATGAATTCAACCATTTGGCCAAAGCAAATAGATGTTATCCCTTTAACTAATTTAAATATGTTCTTTTTGTGTTGAGCAGAATTCTCTTTTTGCTAGCAAGGACTGTACATATATCTCATACACAATAATCTTATCAAATTGGGCCACTTTGGTACAGTCACATGTTTGCAAGGCCTGTCAAAAGAAAATAAATATAAAAATACAAAAAAAGAGCATGAAATTGCCGTTAATTCCTCAATGAGCACTTATTTTTAACCTATTTCATTTTTTAAACCTCTACACCACCATAAAATATTTAAATCCAAATTTGTTAGGAAATTATTTATCAGACTCTTCTGTAAACATCCCTTATTATCATTATTAAAATGCCTCGTTGATAAAGAATTGTGCTTATTTGCTTAAATGATAAAGGAAAAAAACCAGCATGTGATACCAGTTAGACGCAACAGGTTTGCAATAGTTGAGGCGTGAATGATGTAATTGCGGTAGTTGAGACTGGATGTGCTGGATGTCACAATCCAAGCCTGCCTCTGTGTGCAGCAAGGGATGATTTCAGAACATTCTCACAGATTAATAACTACAAGTTGGTAGGTTTCAGCATAATACAGGGAGACGGATCCAGAGATATTTTCTGACAGTGTTTCAAATGATCTTTGTTGATGCATATTCCATTTTTGACCATCTTCCGACAGTGAAAATTAGATACCCGTCAATGGAAACCTGAAAATCTGACCATCTTTTGGAAGACCCAGAAGACAGCTTAAATTGGCCCCTTTAATATAATACTGTATCGAATGGTTTGAAATGTTTTCAAATGATTGTATGTTGTTCTGTCTGTTTCAGATCAGTGACACCTGTGCTTCTGAGCCGTGTGAAAACAATGCAACGTGTGTGGATATAAACCGCAATGAGACAGAGCCGGGACAGGTGAGTGTTCTAGTGATAATAATATAATATTACCTGTCCTGATAAAGTATGCTATGGGAAAACACGGGGAGTAGCTGTTCTATGTGAAAACTATTGAATGCATACAACTAGGGATCAAGTAAGAAAAAACAATTCAACTTGATCATTGTAGACTAAGATGCACAGTGCAGAATTCTTTTCCTTAATTGGATAATAAAAAACAGATTATGCATGATGCACCATAAACACAATAATTAACATGTTACACATACGCACTTTACACAAAAGTCTCCTTGAAAGAGTAGTTTTTAGATAACAACTGACAAGAAGGGGCATCGCGATAATCTAAAGGTTCATTGGTTTGAAGGCTCTTTGGTTCAAAAAATCATATGTACACACCTCTGATGAACTAAATTTTATTGCCAGTTCACTATACACTTTATTCATGCAAAAATTTGGACTCTCGAACCTTCAACCTTTTAACTTTTGCCACAGCCCCCCCCCTCCCCCCAACAAGATGGCTAAGTTTATGTGGGTGTCCAGCTATTGTGGTCAAACTAAAATTATCCTTAGTATGATGGTCAGGTGGATTTAATGACCATGTTAAGTCATGGCTTGGCAGTTGATGGGACTGTTAAGGGGCACATCAAAGCACTTAGACATTTTATGATCCAGTTCTACCTTTAATTGAAGATTTATGTTTAAACTGATATAGTTGTTGTCACTCTGAAGGCCAGGTCCATGTCTGCGATTGACGTGGGCTGTTTGAGTTCAGACCATCTTCAGATTGACTATTTAAATGATGTACTGTTTATTATTTGGGCATTATTTAAAAAAAAACTATTGGATATAAATGTTGGGTATCGTCTCGATCAGTGTTAAACTTTACATAACTTCTGTCTTTCACGATTGTTCTCTAAAACCAACATGATGTTAAGTTAGCAAATGAGCTAAAGTGAACATTTCCTAGAGCCTTTTGAGACATGAATTATAGTGCATGTTATTTGTTAGAAGTAAATGTCACGTTACAGTTAAAAACTGTACGTGGGACTTCAATTAGTTCTCTTTATGTGTTCACTTGCGTATATATGTAGACACCGAACCTTGAACAAATTGAACTTGCATCGGGATCAACCATAGAATTCTGGTTTTACGTATTTTCTAAACTGATTGGGACTAAAGCTGTCACATAAGTTGAATCTTACTAAAATGAGTGAACAATCATTTGGATGTATAAATACCTTTTCCATTAGAAATAAGAAAGTATGGCAGCATTGAAATGTCTATCATTTTGAGCCTTATTTCAATATATTTGCTGTCGGCAGATTATGTATAAAGCAACCAGGTATTAAGTGCCTGCTTCCAAGTAATTATGTGTTATTTTGTTCACACAACATATTAAAGCATACCGCATTTTAGAAAGATTTCTCACTTGGTTCATTATTTGCATAAAATCTTAAGGTGCATGTTGCACTGGGAATTACGGTGTTCCCTTCATAATTTAAGGGAGAAACTGACGGGACAACACAGAATTTTATCAGGGCACTCTTTCATGATGGACACCCATTGAAATATCTTTTTGTACTAGAGATTGGTGCTAGATATATCTGTTGTAGACATCACAATCTATAAAGCGCATTCCTGTAGCTTTTCATGTCACCCTGCCATCTGTCAATCCCCACGTTAATCATGGCCACTTAAATTTGATCTATCTCCATCTATGATTCTTGTCATCACATTTTTATGCCAGGAAAATTGGCCAGCTGGGGAGACATTATTTACTATTCTTATATTTACTAAGTATTCATGGTCCAGGGCTGTATAAATGCATTGGGAGGGACCGTTGTGGATACTACATGGGCGCCCATGTTAGTTATCCTCACTTAGGGCACAGGGAAGTTAGGCATATATGCCCAGTTGGTGTATAATTGAGAACTGCAAGCTGTCACCATGGTCTATGAGGTGGGACGTGTATTAGCTATCACACCCTTCACAGAGTTCTCAAAGATACCAGGCTGTAGTTTCTATCATGAAAATTATTCTTCACTCTGCAAGTAAGTCTTATTGTAGTTGATTCTGTTGAATCATTTGTATGAATGAAGTACTGCACAATTATAGGAGATATAAAGCAGACAGACAGCAGGAATGCTTTATTACCGTGTTTAGGGGTTTTTATTTGCACAGAATGAAGAATTTTCTGTTCCTTTATCTGGGCTGTTTTAGATAGTTTTCTGTCATAGATTGTGTTGTAAACTTTTTAGGTAAGTTTTATCAGCTTGAGTTGAAGCTACGGATTACTGAAAACATTGTTACAAGACAAGGTAATGATGAAGCTAGGTTTTCTAAGAATGTGGACAAATTTGTTGAAACAATATTGAAAGTGTGCAGCGAAGTTTACATCTCAGCTTCTTTGGCAGTATTTAGCATTTTAGCAAAGACAGAATATATTCATTATTGGTTAGGAAGTACCTTTTCTATTCCAGCCTCTATTTAAGTGCAACTGTGTTCGGCCTTTTGAGGGACAACTGTGTGAGAAGATGATCAACTACTGCGAGGACGCACCCTGTCAAAATGGAGGGTCCTGTATAAACGATTACACGCTATTTACCTACCAGTGTAACTGCTCTAAAGGTGAGGACCTTGCAAAAACACTTATCTTTTGTTTATGGTTGTGCTTACAACTCCTTCTGAGCCAATATCGTGATATTTACCTCACTGTATTCATAGAATCATTTTAACATGGAGAGCATTGTAATTATTTTGTTATGATACTTTTACAGAAATATAAAAATTCTAAGTTTGAAATGTGAACTAACAGTGGAAAGAAAGATGCTCAGTCACTATTATATGCATTGATTTGAGTTTGTCTGCTCCTCAAAGTCTTTAATTTTGAATAAGCTCAGTTGTTGGAAGAATGTTCCTTCTGTGACAGAGTATTAAAGTCACAGGTGTGACTTATTACCTGAAAACTCTGGCACTTAAGACTAGAAAATGGCATTCTGCCTATTGTGGTGGAGTGGTACTGTCAAAGATGAAACTTTGAATCATCATTCCCTGCTCTCTCTCTCTCTCTCTCTCTCTCTCTCTCTCTCTCTCTCTCTCTCTCTCTCTCTCTCTCTCTCTCAAATCATGTTTGTAAAGGATGCACAAATTCTGGCAGGTTTTTCTCTTTGTTCTCTGTTGCCAAGGGATAAGTTGATCAGCACATTACACTTCATATCTCACTTTCTCTCTCTCTCTTTCTCCAGGCTACTCAGGTAGGAACTGTACAGTGAACAGGGACGACTGTCCAGCTAACGCCTGCAGTGGACATGGTCAGTGTGTGGATGGACTAGACACATACACTTGTAATTGTAATCCAGGTAAGTAGGGAAAATGTTCCAAAGTATGTCAGAATGAAGTTTAAAAATCTGAAATCAGGAAAAAAACAGAAAAACCACATTCCTGTACTGTATCATAATCTAACCATTTCTATCTGTTCTTTAACTTTAATTATACAAAGATACCTTTCTTGGCAACCTTAGTAGTTTTCGCCTTGTGGTTTCCACTATAGAAGAATATGGAGAGGAGTTGCTGCTGTCCGCATCTTTTCTAAACACCCAATACTAGAGATGAGATTTTTTTATTACCCGCAAAAGCACTTGTTGGCTTCTGCTTAGGAATGTAATCTTCTAATGTCTTTTCTGTGAGGAGTACCACTTGCTTAATGAAGTGAGACAAAACTGTTGCATTACTGAAATGGATAAGGTTGTATTGACAAGGTTTCACACCCTGCTGTAGTTGTGTTTGTGTAAACAGCCCTACTTTACAACACTGTCCTTAACTTGAGAATTAAACAAAAAAGGTTTGACATTAAATGTTTTGTGTATTTGGAGTAAGAACTAAAATTATTGCGTGCATGAATCATGAATAAAGTTTCCCTGCTTTTCATTCTATTAAATTTGTTGAAAACAGTGGGATTTTAAAAAAACCCAGTTACTGATCCATTCATTTTATTCCCCAGGCTGGGCGGAGTGGAACTGCTCTAGAGACATAGACGAGTGTACGGAGATAAACCCCTGTGTCCACGGCACCTGTGAAAATGCTCCAGCAGGAAGTTATACTTGTAGCTGTGACAAAGGATATCAGGGTAATTCTCTCTCTCTCTCTCTCTCTCTCTCTCTCTCTCTCTCTCAGTGTGCAAGAACATGTATTCTGTTAGCCTGTGTGCATATGTGTTTAGCTTATCTTTTTAAAACTGTAACATATGCACTTGGTACATATTTATTGGTTACTTCATTTTCATTCTTTTGACAGCTGTATTATTCATAGACTGACACATCTTGTCATAATCGCCTGGGGTCATGCTGAAACAGTAAAGAAATCCTTTATGGAACTAATTACATATGCTACATGAATAATTTACTAGTAGTTAAACACACTTGGTAGAAAAGTTTTATAGTGCTGTTATTTTAAGACAATTTTGTTCAACTAGAAGTTTTGAAATGATGTCCAATAACAAATTTTTACAGGTAAAAACTGCTCTGAAGATGTCAATGAATGTGAAACGGAACGGCCTTGTAAAAATGGCGCCATTTGCTACAACCTGGTCGGCAGCTATTTCTGCAACTGTTCCACCTTGCTGGGGTATTCTGGGAAGGATTGTGAGATTGCAAACTGCTCTTTCAGCCAGTGCCAAAATGGCGCTACGTGTGAAGTGTTCGATAACTCGACCACTCAGGCCCAGCAGTGGCTATGTGTTTGTCCTGAGTTTTACGCTGGTAAGTGCAGTGGAGATCCCCAACAGCATATTCAGAACAGATCCACAGATCAAGTTTGGCGACCCATTTAAAAGTCTTCTGCTTAATTCCCGATAAGACACTAAATGGATTCCCCAAAGGGATTACACAAGCCTTCAAGTGGGTCGGCCATATTTGACCCACGGATCTGTTAGTCTGCTGTTGTGAATGGGCTACAAGTCTTGTATACTGTCTCGACAAGTGCCCAGTTGTATATAGAATGTTAATTGTAATTATAACTGAATCGTGACCTTAAGAGAAATCAAGGTTATTTGCAAAGTGGATATGAACTAAGACCTAAAGCCTAGTGATGTACCTGATTTGAAGATAAAAGATAAAATGGAGGATTATTTTAATGGACCATGTGGATTAGAGACAGCTCTGAACAAGTTTTATTAATTTCAGTTTTGGAGACCCTTTTCACAGGCCTAAGTAAAAATACCAGTTTTGACAACAGAGGTATACTGTTGTTAGTAAGTTTTGTTTTTTCATCGTGTAGGAACTATCTGTAGATATCTGATTCTAATGTTCTGTACCACATATTCAGGTTCACAGTGTGATGTAAAGCATCCCTGTGCAGACAACCCTTGTCAGAACGCAGCCACATGTAGTGATGATGACCCAGCAAGATACCAGTGTATTTGTGGTCCAGGTAGGCTAAGGGCTAGGGTAGGATCGAATGACGGATAATCTTGAAGACATTTCATTTGTACTTTCTGTATTGTGATATAAATTCTGAGGCTTAGCTGACTTAATTATTTATTTATTTGTTTATTTTTGCTTCTTCCTTAAATTTTCAAATTTTTTCAAAGAACAAAAACTTTAAATAAAAGTACTTTTGCTGTGTTAGTTAAAATGTGATAAACTAGCATGGTTGCTTAATAACTGAGCTTATTCATAACCAAACCCTGACACATGTTGAAACCATGTGTTGCCTCATGTATACCTTGTTAACACTGAAGTCTATTGTTCCTGATAACTGTTTGTCACAGCTGTGGCTCCACCTTTAGTTGAATTTGGCTGGGAAGTGGCTCCATCTACATTTTGAATTGAGGCTCTTCATGATAATGTGATTTTGGTGTGAAACACATCGATTTTGCTTAAATTTCTCTTCTTGCTGTTGAGTAATACAACTGTACAAATAACAATGAAGCTTGAAATTCCGATAATTTCTTTTGCTGAATGCAAAACCTGTGATTAGATTTCTTTATTGGTGATTGATTACGCATAGCTTAAATCTTTGAAACAGTTAAGATGTTATACAAATGCAGATCTTGCAATCATGTCTCATATTAATCTTAACTTAACTGAGCATGACAGTGCATGGCGCACTAACAGAAGAGCATGACTTCAACTTCCAGGTTGGGAAGGCGATACTTGTGCAGACGACATAGATGAGTGTGCCATTGGGCGCTGCCAAAACAACGCCTCCTGCACAAATTCGCAGGGTGGCTACGCGTGCGCATGCATTCTAGGCTTTACTGGCACAAACTGTGAGACTAACATTGACGACTGTGCTGGCGACCCCTGTGTGCATGGCAACTGTAGCGATCTTGTTAACGAGTATTCCTGTCAGTGTGAGGAGGGTAAGGATAGGTGGCGCCATGGTCACCAGCTGTCTTGAATTTATTTATATAAATATATATCTTATAAGATGTCTGGATACTTCATTTATTAGAAATAAACCACCATTTGGTATTTAACAGCCAGTAGCTCAGAATGAATGACTGGAATAAAGTATTATATTTGTAACAGTTTTTGATTTTTTTTTTCAAAACAAAAGAACACTTAAATTTTTTTTAAGCAAACTGATTGTATTTTATCTTCATAAAGTATTATTTCAAGTCACAAAGAAGAGGAAAATCTTGATAGTTATTGTTTGTTTTTAGGTTGGCAGGGTGTCAACTGCAGTGAAGACATAAATGAATGTCTGAAGACACCTTGTCTAAATGGTGCGACCTGCAACAACTTGCTTGGCTCCTATAACTGCACCTGCACTGCTCAGTTCCTGGGTAAGTTAAAATGGAATGTCTGTGGGCTCTATCCCAGTGAAACTATTGATCTACATAGATCGATCTGAGAGTGCATTCCCAGAAATTTAGATCGATCCATCCGGATCAATCTCCCTGAGGGTTCACGCTAAATTGCAGTCAGCCGAGCTCGCATGACAGTTAATTACCCCCTTACAGCTTTTAGTAGGCGGGACAGACACTTAAGCCCGCTAAGCTGACAGTAATCTAGTGGGACTCCCCACAGGGATAGATCGATCTAAAATCTGTGGGAATGGGGGCTGAATGCAGTCAGATTAACATATTAACATGTCTCCTCTTGGCACTGAGTAGAATACAGAAATGCCTGTAATTATACATGTCAATTTGTTAATTTGATTGTATTCAAGCAGAGTTGGATCTATTTACGTATGATAGTTTCAATGTGAATGAAACCCTAAATTTCAGGCTGTGATACCCTGCATATCTAAGATCAAGGGTGGGGTTGAGAAATGACATCCCTTGTGTACTTAAGCTCATGGTAATTAAAGATTTCAGAACATTTTATTACACAAATTTAATTTTTACATCTCCTTGATCTAGACCCACTTAAATAACATGATATACCTATTAAATATTGTGTAAGTTACCTCTCACACACAAGCCAATCTAAAGCTGTGTTCTTTGCTGCAGGTCCTAACTGTGAGTACGAGGACCCGTGTAAGCCAGGCGTGTGTTCTAATGGTGGGTCGTGTCTGGCCTACAGAGAACAGGAGGGCATGTACAGCGCCGAATGCACCTGTCTTGACGGTTACGCTGGAGTCAGGTGTGAGACCATGGTAAGGAAGAGGAAGTATTGAACACTATTAAGAACTGTTTTAACTGACTTTATTATTCATAATATCAAAAGTCAGTTTTGTATTTATGTTTCATTCTATGGCTGTTTTTTCAGTTTCAACAAAGCCTTTCTTGTCTCTTATATATCAGTTTTATGACTTAATTTATCAATAAGATCAATGCTTATTTAAAGATGTCGAGATTAATTCTCTATAGCAGTTACACTATAGTTTCACATTCAGTTTAAAAGAATCAATATATTCATAACCTGTCTTAAGTGGCCTATTTTTCCCCTGTGTTTCAGAGATCGACCCAGGATACCCCCCTGGCTGTCATCATTGGCCCTGTGGTGGGGGGTGTGGTCCTGTTGATTGTCATTGGTAAGTTATACTTCATATATTGTCCTACAGCTAATTCAATGTAATATCTAACACGCTATCACCCCTAACACACTGCCATATGTACCACTTAATACAGTTACACCTAACACACTGCCATATGTACCACTTTATACAGTTACACCTAACACACTGCCATATGTACCACTTAATACAGTTACACCTAACACACTGCCATATGTACCACTTAATACAGTTACACCTAACACACTGCCCCATGTACCACTTTATACAGTTACACCTAACACACTGTCCCATGTACAATTTTACACTCTGTTACACCAAACACACTGTAATATACAAACACCTGTTATATAATGATCAAAACTTTAGTGCACACATGCAGGAAAAAGAATTGTTTGGCTTCATTTCTTTGATATATGTTTCCCTTGTTATATTATTTCATAAGAAGGGCTTTCTTTTTTTTTTTTTCTTGTAGCTGTAATAATCTTCTTGGTGATGGCCCGCAGCAAGAGAGCCACGCGAGGCACATACAGCCCCAGTCGCCAGGAAATGCAAGGATCTCGTGTTGAACTTGGCAATGTGCTGAAACCCCCTCCAGAGGAAAGGTTGATTTAAACTTTCTCCAGCTGTGTGATAAAGGTTAATATACCACAAAAAAAAGCAGTGTGTGGTATGAAGAGATAGATTTTTCCCGAAAATGACATCTATTTAAGGGAAAACCAGAAACATTTTGAAAAAAATGGACAATGGTTAAAGTGCCTTTACCAAGCACGATAAATACAGCTGTCTGAAGCAGTGAAATTGTATTAAGAAAATAATTTCCCCAAAGGTTTTTTTACTGTAATGAGAACCTACAGAAAGCCAAAATCATAAAATATCTTCACATCAAGTTTGCATGTTAGGCCTATCATGTTTCTTATACAGGGAAATATAGTCTTGGTATCTTTGGGGACAAAATAAATAAGAATAAGGCATTTTAATAAGAAAATATAGGTAATGATAGATTGTGGCTGATATGATATATTATAGCCAAGAAAGTGAGAAACTGTTTTTATTAAAGAAATGTGATAAAATGCCTTGGAATATCAACATTAAATAACTTAGTGACATCAAATGTGACAAGTCATATCAAAATGTCCAAACAGATCTCAGATAACATGGAAGGTTGTGATGCTATGCCTGGTTTTCCCTCCAACCTGTCACCCCTAAGATATTCAGTGGGTTGCTCCATCCATGTTATTGAATGCACAAGATGTGTCCATTAAAACAGAAATCAGGGGTGTAAGACGTCTCAAATGGAATATTTATTTTTTCAAGTTTTTGTATTGGGGTAAGATATCCATTGCCTTGAATGAGAAAATAATGATTTATTTTTATTCTCAGTGAAATGCAAGTAGAATAGATTTGGGAACAGAGTTCACTTAAGGGTTGTTAGTTAGAGTGACTGGAATTGAGAGTATTGCCATTCACACAGAGAACTTGCACCAAAAATTGAGTGGCACACATGGTGACACGTCCACCAGAATGGCTTGGCTTACATGGTGACACATCCACCAGAATGGCTTGGCTTACATGGTGACACATCCACCAGAATGGCTTGGCTTACATGGTGACATGTCCACCAGAATGGCTTGGCTTACATGGTGACACATCCACCAGAATGGCTTGGCTTACATGGTGACATGTCCACCAGAATGGCTTGGCTTACGTGGTGAAGTGACCACAGAAAACATTGTTTCCATTGAATTTTAATCTTATTTACGAAGCAAGTTTGCCACTACTGCTGTTCATAGAGGCTTTTTAAAGGTTATGGTCCAAATTATTTAGTGCCTAAAGTGACATATTTGTCTTTTTTTATAAAAGAAGGAAATTAGGGTCTTACGTTCAGGGATGTATTCAAAACAGTGTCTTTTTTCATGTACTTTAAAGATGGTGTGTGAATTTACCTATCAAACTAATCTATCTGGAAGATTTAAAAGAATATCAGAAATTAGCATAATTTGTAGTTAATTTTCAAGGTATTGTTTTATTAGCAGTATACATTTTATGTGTTTATGTAAGAAAATCATCCACATTATGCTAATATGCAAGGTCTTCACTTGTATTTAAGATTTTGCAATATCATTGTAGGCATTTAGTCTCTCACATGTTTCTGATATTAGGAGAAAACAGTGTTTTATGAAAGTAATTCAGTTTTGGGTTGCGGAGGAAGTGCTGTGATTTTTCAGTCCTCCAAACGAAGATATTGTTAAATTGTGTAATAAGTAAAAGAGATCTTGAGCGAAAGTTAAGGATGAAGAGGACCAATAGATAGGATATTTTGTATGTAAGTCTTTGCATTTAATTCTGTCCAGTTTTATTTGCATGATCAGTTAGCAAATCTGCTTAATTAAAGAAGCATTATGAAGGAAAGGAACTTATAAGAAAAGATAGGTTCTATTCCCAGAAAAAAAAACAGTTCATTTACATGAAGTGTATCTTTTATCTTTTAACCATTGTACAAATGTAAACTGATGTAGATAGACATATAGAAATGTATTTATCAAAATCACATCTATATTTATTATTATACACATGTTAGATATTTAACTGTATTTCTATACTGTTCCCAGTAATTGTATATCATTAACTACTAAAAAAAAGTTCACAACTATACAGACCCCAGAGCTCAGCAGGCAAATGTGAGGAAATTCTATAAACCACCTTAATTTTAAGATAAAATGTTCTTGGGATGACCATTTATTTTTCTAATGGGAATGTATTCGGTGGAACTGGCGATTACAAGTCAGAAATGAACAACCAGTAGTAGTTCATTATCGAGATCCAATTCTAGTCAAAATCCTTGCTGGATGATTCGCCACTGAAAACATTTAACACAAGTACATTAAAAATGCTGTTTCTAGTTTACATGTTGCCCAGAAAATTCCTGCCAATATATGTATGCAACATTTGTATTCTAGTGATGGAAGTACTACTTTACACTTGCAATAATTGTCCATTTTCTCATAGGGTATTGTACAAGGACCAGTTTGTTCAAATCTTAGTGAATTGTATAAAATGTTACCGATATTTTCACAAGAAGATGCATTGACAGCATTGTGATCAATTGATTACTGATAGCTATTTTGATATATTGTTATCTGTGAGTAAAGCACAGAGATAATATATAGCCATTTTTCTGATAAATTTCATATGACATTTCAAAGCATGTGCTTCTTAACTCTCCAGTTTGTTGTGTCCACCTTTAAGTACTTTGTATGTAGAGTAACCCATCAACTGCTGGGTTAAATCCTGGGAGCACACACTTTACATAAAGAGCTTCAGTAGTCTGTAGCCTTGCATAGTACTAGTAAAGTACAGAAGAGATGTAATTTTATAACTTGGGGCCTTTCCACATCAAGCGGTACATTAACTGGACCAGCCCGCTTTTACAGGTCCTTTCATGTAATTATATCACAGGGTTTCTACTCCCGCTCACAACTTCTCCATAAGTTTGCCTTCTGCTGTTGTTTTAAGTGAATTGGCGTGGCAAGGGTGGGACATGTTTAGGGTACTCTCTAGGACTCCCTTCACATGAAAAATCTATTTTCCATTCGCGGTATCTTGTGTTCACTCCGAGCGCAGCCGAGAGTTAATTACAGCTTTGGAAGTAACTGGCTCCCGCTGCCAGTAATTACGCCGCAGAGTATTCAGGGCACATACCGTGATCACAAGATACCGCGAATAGAAAATAGATTTTTAGAAAATAGATTTTGCATGTGAACGGTCCCTAATGTAATAGTCACCCTGTTTGATTTTCAAAAATCTTTCAAAGTAGACGGGTCCAGTTAAAAGTGCATGCCAATTGTGAAAAGTACTCTTCTCTATTAACGCATTCTATAAATACTGAAATGCAAGTGTTTTCTGCTGATTCATGGTTACACATATATTTCATAAGAGTGTAGATAGCTAAGGTCAACTGGTTTTAAGAATATTGTAGAGATTGCCTCGCATGTCACATCATTAACATAATTATACATTTTTGTACAGCACTTATAATGGATTCATCAAGAAAATATCAAAAAATAAAAAATATGCATATGAATTTTTTTCGTTTGTTTGTTTGTTAAATTTGATAACCTTTTTCGCAAAACTATTTTCATTGGTGCCTTTAATGAAAATAGTCATTTGAATGCAAAATTTATTATGATCTGAAGACGCTGACAAGAAAGATATGATCATTAGTCAATTCATCAATTTGCTTAACAAAGTCAGAATGCAATTTGATATTTCTGAGCAATGCACTTATCCTTTCTTTGAAGCCAGTCTCCAAACGATTAATTACGTGGCCGTTTGAGTGTTGGTTTTCCTTTACCTCTACTTATACCCGTTGGCATGGCAACGAACTGGTATCCCTGAAGGATAACGTGATGCCATTGTTCGGATCATCCCCTCCCGCTTTGATAATGCGGAAATAAACCTTGCACTGTGAAGTGATAATGCTGTCGCCTCAAAAAGACACCGCTAATGCGAGCTGATGACCCAACAGCAGCGTTTTTATGGCAAGGATCTTCTATTTCAAGCAAATCTCTCTCGCCTAAACGGCTATCAGCACCGTTTTAAGGCATGATTAATTAGAACAATAAGTAGCACAGTACCAGGAAATTTTCTTGAAAGGTGTACTGATGATTTTATCAGTAAAGAGGCAAAATACTGCCTTTGTTGAATGGAACATCGCAATTAGGGTGCTCATATCCTCGTAACAAAATCAATACCAGACGCTTGTACCGAAAAATAAGTCACACCCTAGCTTTCGCCCATGCTGATTTTCATGATAACATCCTACTTAGTTATAGAGTTCGTTGGACATTCGAACTGATCATCACGTATCTCATTACAATTAACAAACCAGCAAAAGTGACGATAAACTATGTCATGGGAAAGAACCTTAAAGGGAAAAAGCCTTAAAAGAGATGGAACGTGTTTCCCAGGGGAAGTGAAAGGTCACCTCTCAAGCAGACCTCTGACATATCACGTGTATCCTTTTTCTTTCTGTGCCTCTTTGAAAGTAGTAGATAGCGCCTAACATTTTATAATTAAAGAATTAGCCACTTTCCTGTTGAGAAAAGAGGATACATCACCTATAGTTATAAGAAATTAACGCTAACCTACTTTTAAATTGGCCTTTGATCTTGTTTAACCTTGTTAAACGGTCAATATGTCCACTTTCTTTAAATGGCGCTCTTGTCGTGTACGTGCAAAGACAGAGGTGGCACTGTCTACGAGGTATAAAAGTACGCGCGTTCGCGTTTGTGTTTTACAGCAAGTGTGACGTCGTAGATCCAAGTTCCTTTTCTCTTTATCGTCACACTTCTCTGATTAGGTGAACATTGTAACCGCTTTGCTGTGCTGTGCAAAAGCCTTGCTCTACATTAACACTCTCTTGATCTAATTTGTCCAGTTGAAGTGTGTTAATTATTTTATAGAAATATGTACTTTTATTGGATCTCATAAGACAATCATCGAAATGCCTTTTGAAATGCCACTTTATCGATTTAAATTACGAGTAGTATTGGTTTTGTGATAGCATTTAAGTGATACTAGACATTTAGTGTTCGACCATAATCCATATAATGAAAAAACTAAGACAATAAGTGTTAACAATATATCCAGTTACGTACAATTGTAGCACAAAAGGGAAATCATTGTTGCATTGTGAAAATGTTAATGTTACGCCGGCGCAGTAACACCTGTTACAACCTCATTGTAGTTCAGAAGCATGAACACTTAAGGCAAAATTGACCAATTTTTTTCACCATTAGGAATTGCTGATTACATAAGCTAACACGATTAAATATATTGAAAACGCTGCGAAGCTCATGATCCCATTGAGTGGAGAGAGTCCGGGAGAAAGCTTCAGTAATTTTGTTTAAATAGCTAATAGAAGTACTAACATATTTACCGTAGTTACCATATTTACATATTTGTTTGATAAAAACGTATGCTTTCCTTGTTTGGCGCCAAATCACAGTTTTCTCTCTAAAAATGCGAATATGTTTAAGATAATCATGAATAAAATAGAGTGATACTGAACACCAGAAAATGTAAAGCGTTCACCTTTATGTCTGATATCCTTGAGCATGGTTTTTCTCAGCAATCAGATCTAAACCTTTTGAAATTGCTGGCTGCTATATTACTGCTATATTAGTTAAGGGGCCTTTACCCTGGACGGTATCACCGTGGTCGTAGAAAGGAAGCACAAGCAGGCCCGTAGCCAGGTTCGGGGAGGGGGGGGGGGTTCGAAAGAACCGCCCTTTTTGCTGGGAAAAGATCCACTCTGGGTAAAATTTTATCTAGTTACATTAAGTTTTTATAGAAAAAGGTCCAGTTTTTAAGAAAAAGAACCCATCATTTGAAATTGCTGGCTACGGCCCTGACAAGCATCACTTTGGTTGCAGAATGGATGCTCAATACTCGGTCAGTTGTCGGCACGTAAAGCATTTTTTAGACTCACAAACGGAGCCGTATTACGGGACGCAGAAAGGATGCCATCCAGTGTGAAGGGGGGGAGGGGTTAGAGTAAGACAGATGGGAAACCGGAGCTTGGAGCATATTACTCCAGTCCTATAACAGCTACATTGTTACCGCTCCGGCAAAGTCTTGTGTATTTTTAAAAGCTTTTAAGGAAAGTACAAGTAACACTGCATATCTTATTCATCACATTGTATCCCGGACATAGGGAAACTAGAATCTAACCTCTTTTTACAATTTTGTACTTTACCAATCTGAAATAGAGAGACACGCGCCGTCGCTCCAGGGACTTAGCAATTAAACCTAGGAGCCGAGATTTAATCCGTTTAATGGCGCGTGTGGAGACGGGTAAACCATCAGCGGTATCGATTTTGAAGTTTGGCCGGCCATATTTAGTCGGCGGATCAGTTAGTACTTGGATAATCTACTCTGAATGGCCCCAATGAAAAATATTATGTTATTTATGTCCTAATGTTAAGGCACAGATTGACTATCTTGCACCTGCTAATGTTAACAATGCAGCAAAATTGACGATAAACACTTGGCCACTCTGGGTCCAGAGGCCCGTGCGGTGGGATATAAAACTAAAAAAAGCCATATTTTACTATAAATGAGTTTACTTCATATCTTAATAATATTCAAATAAGTATTTTATCTAAAAGCATCTTTCCTAAAGCAATTTTCCTAAATGTAGGCCTTTATAGCGTATCGTACCCACTTCAAGTGTAGCGAATGTGCAATTCTAATTCTGAAACAAATTTCCAATTTCGTTTTATGTCAACGAGATGCAACAAAAATGACCCGACTTGTCTGAAGGCACGTATCTTAATCATGGTATGTATTCTATCGTTGTTGTTGTTGTCCCTAAATGGTCTGTTGTAGGCGACGTCACGGAATGGCTACAATATCCGGCAGATATCTTGGAAGTGTATTATCGACCGAGGCTTTACTTACATGTACGTGGTCTGATGACATGTCTCTTTCAGTGGTTATTTTAACTACCAATGGGAAATTGCAAAGGGCTTGGGTATTATTGCATTTATTTAAGAATGATTTGTTTGGGAAGAAACTAATAACTAAAGAGTTGTTGAATGTATTTAGAAAGACTCTAAGTCAAAACAACTTAGAACAATAGAGTATCACTGTCACTTATCATTATCAATTTACTTCCCTTATATTATTACTACTATTATTATTATTATTTATAATAACCAAACTAAAGTGCAGATTGAGTCTTTTGATATGACGACGACTGCATAAACTGTTTTTCTTTTAGTGCATGCACGTTGCCAAATAAGTTTTCCACACTCCTGCGTTTTATTCTTCCAGTTTGTGCAGAGACAGCGTAATCCGAATGGGGTATACGTAATTCATTGTTTACCAATCTATTCGCATATTGTAAAAAAACTAGGATATGAGTTTTATTCCCCTTTGGTTGTATTGAATGTTTTGGTAGACGTAGGTGAGGTAGATTACCAATGCATTTTGCCCAGTGCTCACTTTATTTCCAGGACCTGGTGGCCAAGGACACTATTGTTCACAATGAAAAGCAGTTTATACCGCAAAAGCCAGGGAGATCGGCATGTTCGGTGATCCCCTGGTATTAAACCTGGCAAATCAAACGAGATCAAAGTAGACCAAATGTCTAAATGTAGCATAAACCCTAACCCCTTAGGCTACTAAATAGACTTTCTGGCGCATCCTTATGTTACAGGACGCCCAGGGGTTTGCGCCGAGACTGGCAGACAATCTGGAGGAATGAAATTTAGCCTGGTTTAGCGGCTCTACAGGCGTCTTTTTAATGTACTAGTGGGGATTCATACATTTTTACTTTGTTCTTAATGCAGAAAAAGTTTAGATAGCGTTGAAGGTTGGAGTTAACTGCAATATGAAAACTTTGGCACTGAGGGTTTTTAAGAAGCTGCTTGGGGTACCTTGCCTTCTGAGTACTTAAACGTAAATACACTTTCACTCAACTTCAACACCGATCGCAGGCTGGTTTGGGATGGTTAAACCTGTTTGTATTAGTTTGAAATGTTATGTGATATTTACAGGCGGAATCCACTTTTTATGTTTAGCCACCGTTTCCCACCTTCAAATAAGGGAGAAAAGACTCGGAACCACACTA